GTGTGTGTGTGTGTGTGTGTGTGTGTGTGTGAGTGAGTGTGAGTGTGATTGTGTGTATGTATGTATGTATGTATGTATGTGCGAGTGAGTGTGTGTATGTATGCCTGTGTGAGTGAGTAAGTAAGTGAGTGTGAGTGTGTGTATGTATGTATGTATGTGCGTGTGGGGGGGGTGTCTGTGTGTATGTGTGTTAACCTGTTGCCATAGATTAGGAAAGTAGTGTTTTTAAAGCAACTGTTCTAATAGATCTTCGGTTTCCTCATACGATTTCGACTATAGCCATTTTGATGTAACTTTTTTCAGTCTCTATAACTTTTGGCGTATATTTCTAATTCCTTATTAATTTAATTGTTAATGGGCCGATCGTTTGCTGAATTGTCTGTTTGCAAATGTTGTATTTACTTTAGGTACTTGTGCCACACTGTCTTTCCTTCTCCTCTTCGAAATATTTAGATCATATTTTAGTGACCTATGTTGTCTGAGTACAGTTTGAGTGATGTAGAGTTTCCTTACAGTGGCTAAATTTGATAGTTGATACAAACTGCTAGTGGCAAATCGTCTTTTTTTAAAATACATTATTATAATCAAATTGCGTTGCGCACGTTCCAACTCGAGAAAACGAGTTTTAACTGCTCCACCCCATACAGGAATACAATAAAACTCATACAGATTGAACCAAACTCACGTATATTTCCTTAAGTATATCCCTAGACGACGAGACTCGCGGACCAGCGACTGGTCCTGGCACTACATATCTTAGTGTTTTAAAAATCCAATTAAGTTTTCTTACTCTTTTAATGACGTGTTCGAGGTGTGGATACCACGAGAGTCGCTGGTCCACAAGAACACCCAAATATTTTGATTGTGCAGCTTTAATGATAGAAGGGCATGTGCAGTTACTGGTGTTACCTGTGGTTTTGCAATTATGAATCTTTAAGTGAAAATGATTTTTAGGCTGAGTATCATTATTTATACTAAAACAGATGTAGTTTGTTTTATTAGTATTTAAGGTAAGAGAATTATTAATTAACCATCTGTTTACACGCTCCAGTCCCCGTTCCGCACTAGACTTCAGAGTATCCCAAGAATTATCAGAGAATACAATGGCTGTATCATCAGCATAAGAGAAAATATTAGCGTTCTTGATCTGTAAATCACATAGGTCATTTATATATATAAGAAAAAGCGTAGGACCAAGAACGCTACCTTGGGGTACGCCATACAAAACCTCTTCGCACCTACTGATGTGGTTATCTAATTTCACTGTTTGCTTCCTATTTGTCAAGTAATCAATGAATATACAAAGTGGAGTACCTCTTATACCTATCTTTTCTAATTTGTGTACCAGTATGGAGAGAGAGATGGTGTCAAATGCTTTTTTTAAGTCCAAAAATACTGACAAACATTTCTTACGTTTGTCAAGTTTTTTTGTAACCAGAGAACTCAAGGAGATTACTGCATCTTCCACAGATCTTCCACGCCGAAAACCAAATTGGTTTACAGACAATATATTGTTTTTATTTAAATAGTCTAGTAATCTTTTATTGAGTAATTTTTCCAGTATTTTAGATATCACTGATAATACAGATATAGGCCTGTAATTATTGACATCGTCTCTGTCTCCACTCTTATACACAGGAGTTATAGTTGACAACTTAAGAAGTGTCGGAAAAATTCCTTTGTCAAAACAGAGGTTTGCAGCATAGGTAATAATGGGAACAACTACGGAATTTGCAGATTTTAAAAATGCTGTAGGGATATTGTCCCAGCCAGGCGCACTACTCGATTTTAGGTTCCTAATTATACAGTTTACTTCATGTTCGTCAGTATGCAGGAGAACGAAGGAGTTGATTTGTGTTGGTAAGTTTTTGAGATAAGTTTTCAGTTCATCATTCGGTGTTTGTATTTGCTGAGCAAGTTGCTTGCCAATATTAACAAAAAACTTATTTACATAATCCGCAGCGGCAGAGGGAGTCAATTTCAAATTCGTCAGTTCTGTGTTGGTGGATTTATTGTTACTAGTATACGTAATATTTTTAATACTTTTCCATAATAGTTTACTATTTTTGACTGAATTTTTTAGTATTTCTTTTTCGTAGTTTCCTTTTAGCTTCTTTATAAGATTATTACAGTAATTTCTGTATTTATTGTAGATTCGTTTATTATCTTCATCATTTGATGATTACTACGGCATTTTTGTTGAAGTTTATTTCGGGTTCTAATACAACGTAGGACACCCG